CCCCAAAACCCCAAAACCCCAAAACCCCAAAACCCCAAATGATCAAATTTAGATTGAGGGTTCTTATATAACGCTTGTAAAAGAGAATTTACTTTTATCAAATCAAGTGAAGTCTAGACTTGGTAAGCTGTAGGTTTCTCTGAGAGTAATGGCTATTGTCTTTTTTATTGAATGAGAAAAGCGAAGCTCTTTCATGGAATATTTTAGAGAAGTCTCTGCTATAAACTTTATGAGACTCTCAAGGACAGAACTTTCATTAATATTTGTTCCGCTACTGTCACTACATCCGTTAATAAGAATCACTTTTAATGAAGGATTTCTGCCAAGATTACAGTTTGATTCTATATTATCAAAGCTTCATCTGAGAAATGCCAGTTGGCTAATCCTTCAACACTTTTTCATTAGTTTGATGAAAGTTCTTTCTGTAATATGCATTCCTATAAACAAATAAAGCAATGCGAATTTATCAATTACCTTCAATGTATAAATCTATCTTATCATTTTGGAGATATCTTAAAGCAGACCTGATCACCGAGTGCTTAATAATGCTGCCATCGCTTGAATTTCAGTATAGCTGAAACTTGGCAACATGATCCCTTCCAATCGAATTAATAATACTGTTGTATCTTTTGCTTTTACTCCCATTTGAGAATGTGCAAACAACAAACTTTACATACTCTGGAAGATCTATTTTAGATAAATCTTTGATGACGTCTTTGTCTTCCCACTATAAAAATGGTTAACTCACCTATCTTGGCTAGGATAAATTTTTGTACATTATCAGTCTTAGCTAAGCTGAAATGATGTTCCAGTATACCCTCACGAGCTTACTTACCATATTTAGTGCATATATTCCTGGACGGTCCTGCTCAAGTCCAAAAGGATCAGTAACTTTAAACTCTCTGATTGTTTCAAATACCTTCTGAATCAGTACTTTCTCACTAAATACAACCTTGGTTTCTTCACATATTGCGTCTTCAGTCATTTTCTCATGCTGAGTAGTTTCCATTTCTAGTGCAAATAATCAAATAAACAATTATCTTTCAGTACTGAATTCCTTTTTTGGGGTTTTGGGGTTTTGGGGTTTTGGGGTTTTGGGG